AAAGTACAAGATGGCGCAAACGGAAGACTTAGATACCAATGATCCGAACAATCAATGTTGCAATGCAGTCCTGAACATACATCATCATCATCATCCCAGAGTGTGAAAGGGGTCTGGCGCTTCACACAGGAAGACTGCGCCAGCTCCACACATACACAGACGAAGAAGAGGGGGGTTTAGACAAAGAGGAGGGAAGATGGGAATGTCGTCAACACCAAGTCTTCGGCACAGGCCCAAATAGTCCCTCGTCAAAATGTCTGAATCCCAAATGTCAAGTCTGAATCCAATGTCGTCAAGTCTCAGGTCATATCTCTCTCTCGTAGTCCACAGATACTGAGAAGTAGGCAGCGAGAGGGGAAGAAGAGATGGTGGACTTAGAAGAGGAAGAAGAAGAACTCTCTCTCTCTCTYAGTCCAGTACTAACCTGTGAAGGTGGTGCCTTGGTGCAGGTACCTCSAAGATGGAGCTGGAGCGATGGCGCCACAGGTAAGTATCACTGGCCTCTGCCAGTCATCTCTCTCCTATATCACTACTACTACTACTACTATGGCACCCAGCGCTGAAGACTACCACTAGCGCTAAGCTGCCCTGGGCAGTGCTCCTCCTGAGTGCTGCTCCGCTATCCTGAAGACTACTACCTGACTACTCTTGGCCTGGACTGGCTGCAGGCGAGGCAGCAGTCCAGGAGGCTGCTCTTGCCAATGCCTCGGCCAGCCAGGGGCTGCCGCTGCAGCTCCTGCTGCAAGTTGGCGTGGGGAACAGGCTATTTCTGGCCTGTTCCTGAAACCCTGTTTTCGTGCCTGAGTCTTAGGGGCGGTCGAAACAAATGAGGGCCTGAAATGGCCCTCCGTTTCAGGCTGGAAAACCTCTGGGCCTGAAAGGCCCAGAAATAGGCTGAAACGGAATAGGGCCTGCAGGCCCTCGTATTTCAGCTTCCAGGCTGAAACGACCGGGCCCTGTAAGCCCTAAGTTCTAGGCTTTTAGGCTGAAAGTCCGGGACGGGCCCTGCAGGGCCAGTGTGGCTAGGCAGTATGCCACACCCCCCCCTCCTTGAAGAAGCGAGCTTACCTGCGAGGGTGAAGCTGTCTATCTGAGGGAGGGACCACAGTCCGGGTGGGAGGGGCTGGTCGTGAAGCTTCCTGAGCTAACCTTTGCTTTTCGTAATGCGCGTAGATCAGCGGTGCGGATGCTTTCAAATCTGCTCCTGAAATCCACCGAGTGTCGTCGCGATCGCATGCTTTGAATGTAACTTTGTACTGTCGCGGCTTGCTGCCGTACTTGCGATCGGTGATGACGCGGTCAACTTCCTGATGGCCATCCATAGAAGGAGGATCCTGCGATCGTCGGTCCGGAAAGTCGTCGCTCTTAGCTRGCGTGTATGTTGCCAGCTTCGAGGTGTGAAAGACTGGATGGACCGTCAGATGCGGGGGGATGTTGATCACAAATGAAGGGCCATCGGGCTCATCGCCCGCGGCTGATGTTATGGGCCATGGTCCAAACCACTTGGGAAGCAGTTTGCGTGAGACATCCTGTTCCAGTGCAAACTCTTCCGCGGAAACCCAAACCAGGTCGCCGGCGCGGATGGGACATGGCACGCGATGCCTGTTGGCTTGCTGCTGCATGCGGACTTGAGCCTTTTGCATGTTCGCGCGGGCTTGAGCCAGCAATTCCCTGTACTTCCGGACGAAAGCGGGAGAGCAAGCGGCATCGATGTCGGCTGGTCGTGGGAGGAGAAGATCAGCGAAGATACGGCCTTTCCGTCCACTGTGGTGCAACTTGAATGGAGTCACGCCGATCGTCGGGTGCACCGAAGTGTTGTAGGCGAGCTCGATGTCGGGGAGGCGGTCAACCCAATCTTTCTGGTCCGGACGGATGAGTGTACGAAACATCATTTGAGCGGTCTGATGTGCTCGCTTCGTCTGCCCGTCTGTCTGTGGATGCCGAGCCGAACTTGGCTTCATCTTCGTGCCGGACTCCTGCATGAGTGCAGTCCAAAATGTCGACATGAAGCGGGTGTCGCGGTCGCAGACTATGTCTTCCGGTACACCATGGCCGCAAATCCAGTCGGTGTGGAGGAGGCGTGCCAGCTCGGGAGCCGTGGAGTAGTACTTGCAAGGGAGAAAACGCGTGTACTTACTCAATCGGTCCACGACCGTGAGGATGTCGTCGTGTCCGAGGCGGTCGCGGGGGAATGGTCCGGTGACATCCATGGCAATGGAGAGACCGGGTTCCTGCGGGATCGGCATCGGGCGTAGCTCGCCATAGGGGTTGCGGTTGCGGGGTTTGCTTCGTCGGCAAACTTCGCAAGAGTCGCAATACCTCGTGACGTCGGTGATGAGGTCGGGCCATCGGAATCGTTGTCAAAGCCGTGCCATCGTCAGGTTGACTCCGAAATGGTCGGCGAGTCGCGAATCATGATACTCGCCGAGGAGGCGAGTCCGAAGACGGCGGTCGCGTGGGACACATAGTAAGTCCTTGGCCCGCGAGTGCAGGAGTAAGTACCCATCGGCGATGCGATAGTGGCTGGCCGGCGAGTGATCCGAAGATAGCTGTGCATACAACGTGGCGAAGTCTGGATCAGACTCATATCCCCTGATAAAGTGTCGTTGAAGCTCCTCGTCGAATGCGAAGGCATGATGTGTCATGGTGCAAAGATCAGGTCTTCGCGAGAGTGCATCTGCTGCGCGATTAGAGAGGCCAGGGACATGTTTTGGTGTGAAGTCAAATTGGTTGATGAAGTACATCCATCGTCCGATCGTGCTGCTCACCGTATCCTGCGTCTTGTAGTAGGTCAATGGATTGTTGTCTATGACCCATGTGAACCTACGACGCCCAAGGAGGAAGTGCCGCCAGCGCTTGAGAGCCATCACGAATGCGAGCAACTCCTTCTTCCTTGCATCATCAACCGAGTTGATGGGAGGCACTTTGTGGCTGAAATACTCCACAGGGTGTCAGTCGTCGCCGTCGTGGTGTTCCAAGACTGCCCCAATGCCATAGCCGGAAGCGTCCGTAGTCACTCTCGTCGGCAGGGTGGGGTCATAGATGCTAAGGACGGGTGCCATGAGCATAGCCGTCTTAAGTGTTTGGAATGACCGGCGTGCGTCGTCATCGAATACGAATGGCACCTTTGGCGACTGTAACCTCGTCATAGGTGCAGCAATCCTGGAGTATGCGGTGATGAATCGCTGATAGTAGCCCGCCAACCCCATGAATGAACGAACGTCCGTGGTGTTGGTGGGCTCGGGCCATACTCGTAGGGCCTCGATCTTGTCCGCAAGTGGACGAATGCCTTGCGTCCGTGGTGTTGGTGGGCTCGGGCCATACGTCCGTGGTGTTGGTGGGCTCGGGCCATACTTGTAGGGCCTCAATCTCGTCCGCAAGCGGACGGATGCCATACTCGTAGGGCCTCAATCTTGTCCGCAAGCGGACGGATGCCTTTCCAAGTACTCCAGCTCGTGCCGCGCGAATTCGCACTTGTCGAGGTTGGCTTTGTACTTGGCTTGTCGTAGCCGCTCCAAAACAGTGCGCAAGTGTTCCACATGCTCGTCCAAACTCCAGCTGTACACAAGGATGTCGTCGAGGTAGATGAGTACGTATCTATCCAGCATGTGTCGGAACTCCGTTGTCATAGTCGCTTGGAAAGTGGTCGGGGCATTCGTAAGGCCAAATGGCATAACCAGCCATTCGAAATGCCCATAGCGCGTCTTAAACGCGGTCTTGTAACGGTCCTCCTTGCGAATCTCGAGTTGGTGATATCCTGACTTGAGGTCCTGCTTGGAGAAAAACTTGGCGCCCCGCAGTCGCTCGAGAAGATCGTCGATTCGTGGGAGAGGGCCGGCATTTCTGATCGTCTGCGCGTTGAGCTTGCGATAATCGATGGACAACCGCAAATCCTTGTTCTTCTTCCAGACGAAGAGAACAGGAGCACCGTATGGCGATGAGCTAGGCCGAATCCAGCCTTTCTCCAGAAGGTCGTCGAGTTGTGCCCGAAGCACACTTAACTCTTCCTCGCTCATTCGGTAGAGGCAACCGCGCGGAGGTACGGCCCCGTCCTCGAGGATAATCTCGTGGCGGATGGGCCGATCCGGTACTACTCCGTGCAGGCCTTCGAACACGTCGCTGTAGGCGTCGAGAAGCTCAGTGATGCGTGGATCCGAAGATGAGTCCGTCGATGAAGCGTCATGGGGCGGGAGGGCGTCGAGAAAACACACCCCCATCTCCTCGATGTCGTCTCTGATGATGGAAGCTCGCATGCTTGCGGCGGATACCACATGGCAGCTGATCGAAGGATGAGGAAGGGGTACCATGCATGGAACTAGTACTCCGTTCTGATCACGAATGTGAACGGTGCGGTGATAGACGTTCACCGGTTGATCCTCGCTTCGCAGCCATGACATGCCCAAGATCATGTCAAATTTGGTGTCAAAGGACCCCTCCTCACTTGCGTGAGGGGCAAAGTACACTGGGACGTTGTCAATGCACCGGTCGATTGACTTGTGCGTGTGATTGTCCGCCAATGTGACTTGCGTAGGCTGGGACTTCCTCCGGACGCGTGGGCCAAGGCCGACGCGCACCATGAAGTCCTGGTTGATGTAGTTGCGAGATGCTCCGCAATTGATCAAAGCGCTGCAGGTCGCTTCTCCGATCTGAATGCGTACATATAGCAATGGTGCATCGATGTCGTCGTACCGTTGCGTCTTGAACTCACGGTCGATCTTCGCAATGTAGGCGTGAAGGTCGACAACCTCTACTCCGACGTCCATCAACGGAGTCGGTACTGCAGTGTGCAAGTAATCCCGCAATTGTGCCATGAGCACGTTGCAATGCGGTTTCGGCAATTGTCCGGTCGAGGGAACGGGCATCCATTGGAAGTCCATGAACGTCAATGGGTCGAGCTCTTCAATTCTTGACCATGACGTCGAATCCCCGACGATAGATGGCGGCGAAGCTGCCGAATCGGTTGCCGATGGTGATGAAACCGTGCATGCGGTTGATTGTTGCACGTGGAGCGGTTGGTCCAGCGGTTGAACCAAGTGGACAGCACAGTCCTCGTAAGTATACCGAGAACTTACGACATTCGCATCCTCCCCAGATGTGCAGGAGGCCGCTAGCAAGGCGGCCGAATCTGGCGGAGTGGAAGGTGGAGTCGCCTCACCTCCCGCGAAACTCAGTTTCCCGAGTTGAGACAGGGTCGCACATCCTCCTTGGCATGATCCTGGCAAAGGGAGGTCTTGTGTTTGGTGCTGTTGCACCAGTAGCAGCAGCCGTAGCGGCTGTGGTACTTGTACTCCGCCTCGGTGAAGCTAAACTTGACCCATGGTGATGGCTGTCCATTTCCGGCCTGCGATGCTGGTTTCGCCTTCCCATTGTTCCGGGACTTGTTGTTGCTTCGCAGCTGGACAACAGCCTCCTGATCTCCGTCACGTGATGCTGGAGTGGCTGCTGGGTCTTCTCCACTGTCCGATTGGACTGCAGCGAAGTGCTGCGGTCGCGGACCAGTCTTTACCTTCTCCACATAGGTCGGCTGCCACGTTGACTTCTCATGTGCAGCTGCCCTGTTGGTCTTGATGATCTCTCTCGCCTTGTCAATGATCTCAGCGAAAGTTGTATACTGCTCGCGATCACCAAGTGCAAGGCTCAATGCAGCACATGACCTGTTATAAAACTCGCGGCGCAGATGCGCAAATGGTAAGTCGAGATCGGGCGTTGCCGCGATCTTCTGCCATTCCGTGAGCCAGTCACGTGTTGCTGTATTGCCTTGTGTCATTGTGAAGATGCGGTTGATTGTGAGCGTCGGGGCATCGTCGACGATGAACCGCTTCTTCCATTCCTTCGTCATGTCTTCCAAGGAGACCTTCTTGTACAGGTCTGAAATCTGGACGCCGTGGACGATTGCCATGTGGCTGAGCCAGATCTGACAGCCGCCCTTGGTGTTGATGAACAGCGCGTTGATGAACAGATGGTTGGGGACCTCGTGAATCCCCAACTCCGTTGTAAATCCTTGCCACCAGACGACCGGGTCTTGATGAGTATAGTCATCAAACTTTTCGATCCGGAACGTCGGCATCTTGTATGGCTTCGCCGAGTTGTTGTTGTTGCTGTGGTCAGTCTGCTGTTGCTGACTGATCTTGGTGTCCAACACATCAAACCGCTGGCTGATGGTGGCCGGCGCTGCGAAGACACTGGTATCTCCTAGCATTGCCACTACGTGGTCAACGCGTTCCTCCAGTTGGCGGGCCGATGGGGCGCTGCTGGATTCACCAGCCTCCGGTCTTGGTGGAACTTGTTCCAAGTCCTGTACACGGGCGTCAAGTGCCCGTGTGGCATCCTCGTGCTGAGCCTTATGGTTCCGCACGGCCCGCTGGAGGTTCACCAGCTCGGATTGCAGGTGGTTACAAGTGTAAACCAGTCTGGTCACGAGTTTGGCCATGAACTCCTTGTGCAGCTCCTCCGGTGTCGCGTCGTCGCCTTTGGACGGTTCAAAGTGCCAGAACTTGAGTCTTTCGATGCTGGCGGTTTCATGCCGCTGCAGCAGATCCTTGGCCTCCTTGCGGCGTGCCAGGGTATCTGTGTCTGCTTCGGCCTGTAGCCGCTGCTTCTCAGCTGTTGCCACTGCTTCAGCCTGTAGGCGGGCAGCCTCGGCTGCTAGCTGGCGTTGTTCCTCAAGCTCGATCACTGCAATCTGAGCCTGGAACCGCGGTTTGTAGTCGGCAAGGGACTCGTTGGCCAGTTGGCCTGGCATGCCCAGAGCTGCCCCCGTCATGGTGGCGGGGCACTGCTGACGTGGCACTGCTGACGTGGCACTGCTTACGTGGCACTGTGACTGACGTGGTACTGCTGACGTGGCATTGCTGACGTGGCACTGTTGCTGACGTGGCACTGTTGCTGACGTGGCACTGCTGACGTGGCACTGTTGCTGACGTGGCACTGCTGACATGGCACTGTGTCTGACGTGGCACTGCTGATGTGGCACTGTGTCTGACGTGGCACTGCTGACGTGGCACTGCTGATGTTGCACAGCTGATGTGGCACTGTCTGACGTGGCACTGCTGACGTGGCACTGCTGACGTGGCACTGCTGACGTGGCACTGCTGACGTGGCACTGCTGACGTGGCACTGCTGACATGGCACTGCTGACATGGCACTGCTGATGTGGCACTGCTGACGTGGCACTGTACCGAACCGGAATGCATGCAAAGGGGTGGGTGGGAGGGAAAACGCAGGTAGGTAACCAACCCAACAATACTTTCCTCCCGGCCCTAATCAACAGATAAAAAATAAAAAAAATAAAAGAGGACTACTTCCTTTTTATTTATTTTTTTTATATCTGTCGATCTGTTATGAGTGAGGTATGTCAGAAAGTACTATGAGCGAGATCTAGGCCAGATTCCGCAAAGTTTCGGCTTTACAAAATGCAATCTTGAAAAAAAAATTTGCGAAATACAGTAGAGATGCGATTTTCAGAAAAGGACTAAATCCTGTTCCTGCAAATATGACAATCTCCTACTATGCCTAAAATGCCATGCTGATAGGCTCCGCAAGATTTCAGTTTTAAAAAAAAAATTGCGAGATAGAATGGAAATTCGATTTTCAGAACAGACTAAATCCGGTTTCCGAGAATATGACCACTTCTATCGTTATCCTAATAGGCCCAGAAAAACGAAATGCTCATATCAGAAATTTCGGCTATGTATGCAAAATATCAGAAAACGAAATGCTACTTTCAGAAAAGTTCGGATATTTGTTGCGTAAAAACGAAATGCAAATATCAGAATTTCCAGGTAGATCGTAATGCTATTATCAGGAATTTCAGATAAAACGAAATGCGATTTTCAGAAATTTTCAGATATTTGTTACGTAAAACGAAATACCAATATCGAAATTTTCAGAAAAAAACGAAATGCGATTATCAGAAATTTTTAGATATAACGAAATGCTATTATCACGGATTTTCAGATATATGCGAAAGAAAAAATTTTCAGAGATTTGACGAAGTCCTACTTGATTTACTAACGAGTGATCAAAAGATCAAGCAAGCTGGCTACTTGATTGAGCGGGTCCTCTGAATGAGAGGTCCGCTCCGATACCAAACTGTTGCATACTGTAACTGTGCAGACCAGAACAAGAACCGACCTCTCAATACAAAGTACAAGATGGCGCAAACGGAAGACTTAGATACCAATGATCCGAACAATCAATGTTGCAATGCAGTCCTGAACATACATC